TGGACCCTTGAACCAAATGATGGATACATATAATAAGCACTGCGATAACATTGACTTTACAATGACAAAAACCAAATTAAAGCAATATTTTAATTCGTCGCATAACGTCAACTAGAAGTAATGTTTTAACTTGTTCTTAAGACATATTATAAAAATATAAACAAAGACAAAATTGTAAAAATAGCACTTAAGACAACAATTGTAAAACGGTCTACACTGATTGACGACAAATAAATAAATAAATAAATAAATAATCTTATGTATGCTGTTTGTTAACATTTTATAATCAAAACCGTAGTGTTCTTGTCCGGAAGAATGGGATATTACATTTCGATACATTCACATCCAATGCATTCAATATCCGCAAATAGTAGTGGACTCAAATGGCGCCCTTGGTGCACACCACCAAATGTAACCACGAAAGGGCCCGGGGAAAAAGGAGGGGAGCAGGGGGAACGACACTCATTTGGATGTATTTTTTCAGTCTAGTAATTACTAGGTTCAGTTTAGTAATTACTAGGTTCCGGATAATATTCCCAGCTATATTTGGACGGGAATTTGATTCACAATATTCTCGCACAGAAACTCCATCAGACGGTGGGTGTCTTCCTTCACCATTAGCTCTTTCTTCTCCGAATCCTTGACCAGCAGCAACGAGTAAAACTTGGGCCGGTTGGAAAAATGACCTGAATTCCTTCTCCACCTGCTTGTCGTAGCTTCCATGCTACAACATACAGACACCTGGGCTCTTATCCGTCGAATTTGATCGGTTTAAGTCCGGGAAATGCATGTGCGCTACCGTCTTCTCCGTGATGCACTTGATGTTGTCCCACGGACGATTTTAGACGAGTGGTCCGTCATCTTTTTTAAGTTTTCCGATTTTTAACCGGCATAGCCCCGGGACGGGACTTGACAATCGAGCTTCTCACTCTTCTTAATGTTTTTGAAGAATGCCCTTCGGAAACTTGTGCGTGGTGTTTGACGGAGTTGACCAAGGATGCCAGGAATGTAAAATATTTATTCTATATTAATTTGGATTTTATGCGGAGTTCCTTCCGCACCTTAGCAACATGTGCATCATTTTTGCTCAACACAATAGAAACAACCATAAACAAACAACAATATCCAACGCTTAAAACACGCAATGCACTCAATTTTTCAACTTTCCTTTCGCAAATATAAAAAAATAACAATGCCATTCACGTCAACATTGATTCCGGCATCACTGCTAGCCAGATTGATGCGATCCCTCTGTCCTTTTTATTCCACGATTGCTACTGTCAAATCGACCAATCAGAAACTGGCTCGGATTTGACAGCAAATTGGCTCGAAATCGCTACCCGATTGTCAAGTCCCGTCCCAGGCATAGCCAGCTGACATACATGGTGTTTGTTGTGGAGATTGTTGAAAAATGACAGTGAGTATGGCAGAGTGCTTCGCGGTCGACCTGAAAACTGCGAGAAACTGCATGGCTTGCTTGACAATTTGTGTGCATGCAGAAGGGATAAGTTGGGAATAGAAAGAATAGATACACTCAAAGATAAATTAAATCAAAAAAGCTTAAAAAGTATGCAGTTTCCCACTTCACCTTATTGAGTCCGAGCCATGATTACTTCGACAGTAGTCGTGCATGATTAAAATCGAAATAATCTTTTCAGTATTAAATTTTATTCTTTTTCAATACTGATATAGTGTAAACGCTCCTTGGTTGCGGTACGTTAGAAGCGTTAGGTTCCTATAGTTGTGTATGGAGACTCCATACACAACTATAGGAACCTAACGCTTCTAACGTACCGCAACTATAGGAGCGTTTCCCCTATAATAAAAAAAAGATTAAAATTCAATCAAAAAATTTTAAAATAGAATCAAAAATGATTAAAAAATATTCAAAAAAAGATAATCTACAATATAATCAACCATGATTAAACTGGAATTAATATCAGATGCTTATTTTTTAGAAAGAGAGGATTAATTTTTAATCATTCGATATGATTAAACTGAGTTTAATGTCAAATTGATTAAATTTCAAGCAAAATGGGAATAGTTCAATTTATCAGTGTAGGATGGATTGAAATTTTGTGCACGCTGAAAATTTTATGAGAGGGTTTGTTAAAAATGGGATAATCCTGAAGTGTCGTTCCCCCTGGAGGGGAGGTAACCCAAGTAAAAATTGTCGTTATATGGCGGTTCTGTACACAGATAAAAATATTTTGTAATTTACTACTACCAACTGGAGCACGATTCTAAATATAAAATTACACGTTTAACGATCTGAAATTCAATTAATTAAAGTTGGCATTTACAAGTTCATGTAAATTTATATCGATCTTCGTTGAAAATTAAATCAATTGAAATTCAATGCAAATGAATGTATAGCTAGTTTCTTTCAAGATTGCAAATACTCATTTCAGCTAAAACAATGTTTTTTTTTTTTTAAATTATGAAATAATTAGATGCTATGATCATATTTTGCATTGGTAAGATACAAGATCAGTGTTCACTCGGCTGTCGACAAAAGCAGGCCACTCTCGATGTGTGCTACGCGATCGTCTGTTTTCTCGGCAGCAACCATTGTGTGGTCCTCCTCATTGTTCTTCATCAGCAGTTCTTTCGGTCGATGCATCGTCGACTTTGGAAAGCAACCGTTTCGTGATGAGTGTGTGAGTGCTGACCACGTTTTGCGTCCATTGCTGCAATGGACGCGCTCTGACCCTCGTTGGCATACAACAATTTGCCATACAATGAAACTACTGGAAGCGGCTCCAGTTCTGATGGAGGAGGCTTTTTGGATAGCGGAAGATAAAGTGTTTATTGTGTTGTACCTTTTGACTATATATTTAAGATGTATTGTATAGTGACCAAGAATCCTCGGCTCTGTAAAGTTAATTCGGTTGAGCCTTATCAAATAAATTAATAAACAACAAGATACAAGAAGACGTTGCAAAGAATGTGTTTGACATGTTAAACCTGTTTATTTCACTTCATGAGAGTCACAATCAGCGATTTTTCACACACTCACTCACTCAGCGATCAGCAAATCGCTGATTGTGACTCATAGAAAGCAAAATTTACAAGTTTTATGTTTCAAACGCATACTTTGCAACCTCTTCTTGTAAGTTACAAGTAAAAAATGTCATCATACCATCTTTTGGTTTTATTATTCCGAAAAATATTATTTTAGCTGAAATGAGTATTTGCAACCTTGGATTCTTTCATGTAAAATTAATGTTTTATTGCTGTAAGGTTCAACTACGGCCAGAAAATAAATCAATGTGCCACATGTAAAGTTACAAAGTTTTGTCTGTGAAAACTATGTTTAATACTTGTAGAACACTTTAAACCATCGAAAAACTTTCAATGTTACTTGGAAAATATCCCTACATTCTCCTACTCAATAGCGCAGAAAAGTCTAATAGTATTTGATCCGGAAAATTCCATTACTGGACCAAAAATCTCTAGGCTTTACGAAACAGGACCCCTTCATCAGCACCGATTTGTATTTCCTATCTATCTCACTGTTCCTGTTGTCTAACAATTACCCACGTTACCCTTCAATGACCTTACTCCCAATAGAATTGAGGTCAGATCTGAAATTATCTTACAGCAAATGAAAGTGAACCCATATCAGTAAAATCTTATTGATACGAAATAATCATATAATAATTTACCATGCGTAAACGATGACCCAATTTTAACGCAAGTCTAAATAATAAATTATATCCTCGCTATCACAACCAGTATTCAAAAGAAACTGCAAATCATCAACCAACTGAAATGGTTACCGCCGGCTCGGCAGTGATGACACATTCGTAGATATGTTGTCTCTCACTCACTAAGCTATTTCGTATTTACTCTAAGTAAAAGCCAAACCAGACTCCGACCAAAAACTCAACCCGTTTGGGGTGTACCCAAAGCTCGATCGCACACTTCTTTCACTCTCGTTGAATCACTCTTCTGTCAGTTCGTGTATGGTGTTCGATGCAGTAATAAGCTAAATTAAATTGTTGCATTAATTGAATTCACACTTACTTGTATCGATTTTTTATCAAAAACTATAGAACATTCCTACCAAATCTGTGAAACTCTCCTGGAAAAAGTGTTAGGAATTGTGTAAACACTAGCTATGGGTCACAGGTAATCGATTTTTTTTTATTACTAGACAAACGTTAATTACATTGGCGTTGCAAATTTAAAACGCATGAGTAAAATGTTCTCAAACCAACTGCTGGTGGGTTTTTAGTGACTATCAGGAGCGAAAAGTGACGAACCTCATAGAAAATTATCATCATCTGATTTCCAAACCACCTTTTCCAACTACATAACCAACAGTAAACGTGCTTCATGCACTGAAATATAAAAGGCATGGTGATTGTATCATTGTCGCTGTCTGCCAAGCAACGAAGGTACCAAATTTTCCATTGACATTAGTAAACGGTGGATAACTTGAAACTTCCTTATAGCATCACCGAAACCGTTCCTCTAACGGCTTGACTTCTCGAAGTGCCCAAGATGCAATTCCAAGCTGCCACACGAACCGATGAAATGCATCTGTAGCGAAGCATCGTGAGCTTACTTACCTACTGATTGAATGATTTAAGCATTTATTTACAGTGCATCTAGCATAAATGGATACATTCATAAGAACTTGCATGCAAGCATATGTCGGTTCGTGGTGCACTATAGTAAGTTGATGCCGGTCAAGTCCCACTGATCTACACTAAGCAAGAGTCAGCGTGCACATGAGAACACAAATAGACAGTTACCATGCAGTAAACAGCGAGTTAAACGGGTTCAAGCATGTGTGCCAAAGTTGGCGGCATACTAGCAGATAAGGTGGAAATTTGTTTTCTTCTTTCACTTTCATTACGTATAGCGACGCGAAACAGCTACAATGCTCGCGAATGAAGTAACAAGGACCAGTTGGTTTTATGCCACCAATCGATAAGTGTGTCAAGAACAAATAGTGCTGCTCCTGAAGTGCGAGATTACTACTGAAAATCATTCTGAGAATCTCAAATTTACGCGACTCATATGATCAATCCAGTGCTTGCAGGAAAAATGGGATTGAGGTATGTTGTGGACGTGTAGAACAAACTTATTGTAAAAATAGGCTGAACTGTTGCAATATAAGAAGAATAGTTAACTCCTATTTAGAGAAGTGAAATGTTTGACCAAGATTTTGAAAACTAGCTGTGAATACGCTATGTCCAGGAAAAGCGATCAAATATCCAACCCGAAAAAATCCTCGACCACACCAGGATTCGAGCACTCTGTGGTGTGATTTATGAACGATCACTAAGCTTCTAACTATTTAAGAATAATGTATAATTGATCAATTCTATTTGATCAGTCTATTCATTTACAACACAAAGAAACGTTTAATAAGATGAGGGTTGGATAGTTTACTACATTAAAAAAAAAACATTAATTGCATTCACATAATCTCCAGTTAACTCAGCATAAACAACGTTATTGTTAACGCTAGTATTCAATTTTAACGATTTTGCATACACACCAGAAATTTTTCGTATTTCGAACAATCCATATTCTCGGTGATGATGTAGATATTTCTGCAAATAAAAATATATAGTGTAGGTCGTCCAGTTTTGAAACTATTGTCATTAGAGTTGAAAACTGGAAAATCCATTATACTCTCGCGCATGATAGCGCATCATTGTGTGATTACAGCGCACTTCTTCCACTATGCACAGCGCACTATGTATAAAGACATAAAATGCTTGAAATTTCGAGATCTTGGTTATCACGAAATAATGTAATAAAAATCGACTTTCTGGGACTAAGCATTTTTTTCGTGATTTAGACGTGGGATATGAAACATTGATGAATTGGATTCTAAAACTATTCACCACTATCTTATTATTATTATTATTATTATTTTAATCCATCACTAGCATCAAATACGTTCACTAGGGTGGATCCTTTTTTTTGTCATGGTCATTTTCAAACATAAAACTTCAAAATACACACATAAATCATAAGTTACTTATTGCATCTACAGAAAATGAAATATTCACTTCCCGTAAGAGTAACACTGATACGTTATGTGCATTCATCACTAGAATACATAGTGGAATACTTGCATGAGGTCATTGATTTATTTTTAATTGGGTAATCGAAAAAATCGTAGGATAAATTTCACTAGGGTGATTTTTAGTTAAAAAAAAACACAACCTTTGATGATTTTTCGGCACCCCTAAGTCATGTCCAATTGATCTCAAATTTTGAACAGAGTCTTTTATCGAGGCAATGAACATTTTGGAAATTCAAGTTAACCATTTGCATTGCCCTGATGAACATCAAAATTCGGCAGTAAACCAAATTTGTTTTTACTGTGGGAGTAAGAACAATCACAGAAACACCAAAACTTAAGCTTGAGGATACACACCACAAAATTCTGAATTTTACTGACGATGTAAACATCCATGCATGCAAACATTCATACATGTAAACTTCCTTTTCACGTAAACTAGCAACTTCTAAGAAATGTTGCAAACAAAAGTGGACACTTGCATACAATATATGGAATATTGCATGACATGTCTTATAAATTTACACGATCTATAATTTAAACTTGTATGATATATGACGCTCCATTTATGTGCATCATAGTAACGGAAATTTACCCTACTCTTGTTAGCTGTGTACCGTTAAACGGGGGGAAGTTGAAAAGGGTGTCTTAAATCTCTCAAAACCGTCCATAATTCTTTTTTGATAATTTCACTGCGACGAATTTCACCACAAAGCGTCTATGGGGTTAGCAGCACCTTCTCAAATTCCAATTAGTTGGTTTAAGCATATTAACATACTAGTTTTCACTAACCCTTTTGTGCGTGACGAACTTTTTGCATTTTTCTGTTATTCATGTTATTCCAATGGGAGCTGGGTACATCATCACGCAAATAACGGTTAAAAAAATCTAGACGACAATTTGAAAAGGGCTGAATTTTTTCCAAAAAAATATACTATACACAGCAAAAAAATAATTTTGATATCACGTCAAAGTGGATGCACTACAATCATGTCGAAAATATGGTGTAATATTACTTGCTAAAAAAGACAAAATTATCATTAATACAATGCATGAACTGACATTACGCTGCTTTTACTGCATTTGTTTATTTATGTGGTCATAAAAATTACATGAAATTTTCGACATGATTGTAGTGCATCCACTTTGATGTGATATCAAAATTATTTTTTTGCTGTGTACTGATAAGACCTACACAAATTTAGCTAAGCTGTAAAAACGTTTCTAAGATTTCATTAAAATATTAAGAAAATATTTGTTTGTAAAAATAAGTCCTACGCTGAACAAAATTCATTTCAAAATTGAAATATTTTTTTAATACTCTAAAATTTATTTTCTTGAAAAATAGACTAATTATCTACAAGTCGTCCATACACTGCATTGCACAATAAGTTAAGCAGATGATTTTCTGCCTGTTCTCTCTCTCTCCATAATGGATTATTGTGTCCCCCTAATAGGCGTTTTCCCAGAATTTCAAAATAAGTATTTTGGAAATTGGTTGAAATCGGCGGCGTTGGCCACATACAAAAAATGTGTATACACTTGAGCTGGCTTGACCCATTTTGATTTACGTTTCATAATGCATGTCAAATATAAGATCCTTCTCATGCTTAAATAATTATTAAGCCCCTTAACGTACACACCAAAAAAATTCTGAATTTTACTGGCGATGTAAACATTCATGCATGCAAACATTCATACATGTAAACTTCCTTTTCACGTAAACTAGCATCTTGCAAGAAACGTTGCAAACAAAAGTGGACAGTTGCATACAATATATGGAATTTACACGATCTATAATCTAAACTTGTATGATATATGACGCTCCATTTATGTGCATCCTAGTAACGAAAATTTACACCACTTTTTTTAGCTGTGTAGGTACATCACCTTTTCGTGGTACGCTACGGGATCTACCGCCGATTCCTAGAGCTTAACATTTCAAACTAGTCTGCATCTATGTGATTCTAAATCTTCTATTCGTTGTTCCCTAGTTTCAAGTGGTTAAGACTAGGGTTCTGAGGCATGGTATTTATCGATGTCATTGCTAAATGCTATTGCTAAGGAATGCAATTTTGACTGACCAAGGGACGTGCCTCACTCTTCGTAGTGTATGACTAGCTGGACTTTTCAATTAGAATCGATTCCTTGCGATGAAGGCAAGAATGACAACTGTATCAAATACTTCATCATTTCTCAATATCAATACGACAGGCACTAAACTAAGGACACGGGTTATCCCAAAATAGATAAAATAACTGGACGCCGTGGATTTATGTCCTGAACAGAAAAAAAAGAAATGTAAGATTACATTACAGATATGCATGAATAGTAGACAGAATTTGCAATGTTTCGTGACATGAACAGATTCTGTAATATGGTATCCGGAAGGTTTTTAAAATAATGTTTCTATTTTTATGTTAGGTTATTTTTCGAACAAGGTTCGTTTCCTTAAATGCATTGCTTTTAGAAAATCATCTCGTGAAGATTTTATACAAAAATATGCATTTAGGAAAAACTTGCTTGTACGCTGCAGTCCATTGCATTTGATGTATGAAACATATGCAGAGAATCTAATAAATCCAACCTTACATTGGATGTAAGACAAATTTGTTTTGCGTGTTGAAATGCAAATTTAAAGGTTTAACAATCTGATTCTTATAAGATTTGTAAATTTACAAAATTTTTGTTGTGTATATAAGTCTCTTTTTAGTAATTTAACTTTGCAGCCACCTTTTCCTTAGCTCCTAATAATGGTATTCAATTTAAAATATATTCAAAATCGCATAGGTGTTCCTAGACACCAATCTCTCACACAATTATTTTTTGACCCAAAAAATACAAGAGTTATGCAATAGCTAGGTATGTCGCATAAAATTACGCTGTGTGCCAATTGAAAGTAATCTTTCTTCTTCGAGTTTGTTCATTTCTGTGGGGTGAAAACTAGTCAATGCACACGCAAAGCCAACCAACGCTTGCACGCTGCAGTTGAACCGCAGTCGCGCCTTCCGCGTAGGGTTAGAAAACATACCGGTTTTCGCTTAAACTTATTGGAAACAGAATCTCGACTTGGGAGCATCGTTCGGCGCCTGTCACGCACTGAATTCACTCACCCATCATGTAAAAAACGAGTAGAAAAAGACTTAAATCGTTTGTTTGTCTCTTCATTATTTCTTCCAAAAGGTTACTCATACTGGCAGTTGTAGGCTTGGGCTCACTGTACGTTATGCATCTTCTGGCACAAGACTTTATGAAAATTTCGAAACCTCTATTTATGGCGTCAGGAAAACGAGACATATCCAGGTTTAATCGGACGAGTGCATTAAATGTAAGTACCCTAACTAAGCAGCAACTCCATATTAACAAGATGAAAACGCACTAATTGAAACGAGCATGCTTAAATACAAAGGCTTTGTGAACTTAAACTCTTTCTGGTACTGAGTAAAAACTTTTTATAAATAATCAGCATGGGTTTTATATTAGATGGATGAAAAGTTAACAACTTTTGCTCCAATTTTCATCAGAGATAAAGAGAAATAGTAGTTATTTTTTTCAAGACGTTCATCATCATGAGATAGATAGATCAAGCTATACAGTCCCTGGGTTATGCAGAGTGATTTTTTCACCATCAGTTGATAGCAACCACTGTCAAACTGCATTTTGCGTAAAGCCCAATCGTAGCTTTTCCATTGTTTGTTTACGTTTGTAAACTCACGGATGAAAAGGGAGGACCATAATGCACCATTTATTGATGAAAAAGTTTAGAGAAATGATTTTTATGCCTCTTAAAAATAATGTGTTCACTGTGAATTTGTATATGGTTGGATGGTTGGTTGTCTTTATTAAAGAGATTTTCAGTTAGTCCGCATCGTGCTCTCTTGCCGTGCGGATCTATTTGCTTTTTGCTGAAGGAAGTGTTACTACTACCTAAAGCTACAACAAATTTAAACAGCACTTTTCAGTGCTCAACCTGTAAAAATTTTCTACCTTGTTCAACTCTTATTCCTCTTCGATCCTTGTTTGGACCCTACCCGAGGTAATCCTTCTTGGATATCGATTTGGAAAATTCCTCTTCGATCCTTCAGATTCTTATAGTAATCTGCTTGGAAGTCGATTTGGATAAAAATTTACTGCCGCCATGGCGCCTAAACGCAAAAGAAAGGGGCAAACTCTTGACCCCCCTTCTGATGAAATTAATTTGAGTAATCAATTTGATTTGCTCACGGATGATGAGAATGATCCATCATCCAAGAAAAATTCTAGTAAACTTTCCAGGCTTAATGCCAAGAAGGAAAAGATTCCCCCTATTGTGATAACCACTACCGATTTCCATGCTCTTCGCATGGAACTTTTGAATTTCGTGAAAGTTAAGTTTTCACTACAAATTGGACGTCGGGGTGAATGCCGTGTATTGGCTGAAACCTTGGACGGATTTAAATGTCTTCTCAAGTATCTTACTGAGAAGAAGCACAAATGTTTTACTTACGACACCAAAACTGAACGTGTGTTCAAGGTTGTCATGAAAGGACTGCCCAGTGGTGAATCCCTGGATCAGATCAAAGATGAACTGGCAAAATTACTTGGAGTTGTGCCACTCCAAGTAATCAAAATGAAAATGAAATCCCGTCCTGGCGATTCGCGCAACGGGATTTCTAATGATTTTTATTTAGTTCACTTCAAGTCTAGTGAACTAAACAACCTTAAGGCCTTAGAAAAAGCTAGCCTTATGCTCCATGTCCGAGTGAAGTGGGAACACTTCAGGAAGACTGGAGGAAATTTCCAAAACCTCACCCAGTGCCGTAAGTGCCAGGGATGGGGTCACGGAACTAAAAATTGCTACATGCCAGCTAAATGCATGAATTGTGGTGATTCCTCTCACGCAAAGGACGACTGTCCTGTGAAGGAAGATCCTAAGAAATTTAAATGTTCAAATTGTGGTGAAAACCACAAATCCAATTTTTGGGAATGTAAGACTCGCAAAGCGATCCTACAATCTCGTTCTAACCGTCAGGTAGGAAACGCTCCACGTTTCCGACCAGGTACAAATTCCTCTGCTGTTAACAACGGTCAGCGAGGAACAAATTCTACATTCGTACCCGTAGGTACAAATATCACCCCTACTTCAAATGTTTCATCTGTACCTACTCCCCTCGCTGCTAACAATGTTCAACAAGTTAATGGAGCTACCTATGCTGCTATTACAGCGGGTAGAAATCAAAATACTAACCAACGTTCTAACGGAAATTTTGACAATTTTGACTTAGGAAGCATTACTGCCCCCAAAATGGAATTTTTACAGAATTCATTAATTGACATGATTTCTGATATGCTTAAATCTAACTCCATGTTTGATGCTATTCAAACTGGAGTAAAATTTGAAAATAATATTGTCATGACTTTAAAATTCAGTAATGGATTTTAAAGCATTAAATATTGTAAATTGGAATGCTCGATCTCTTAAAGATAATGAAGACTAGCTATTTAACTTTTTAAGAGTTCATAACGTGCATATTGCCGTTATAACTGAAACGTTCCTTAAACCTGCCCATAAGGTTAAGAAGGACGCAAACTACTTGATTTATAGAAATGATCGTCTTGATGGACCCTGTGGTGGCGTTGCCATCATTATTCATAGACGAATCAAACATAAAATTCTTTCTTCATTTGAAACCAAAGTTTTTGAAACTTTGGGAGTTTCTGTTGAAACAAAATTTGGACAACTTACGTTTATAGCTGCCTATTTGCCATTCCAATGCGTAGGCCAGCAAAAGAATTTTCTCAAGGGTGACCTCCAGAAACTTACCCGTCATAGGTCTAAATTCTTCATTATTGGTGATTTTAATGCAAAACACCGCTCATGGAATAATGCTCAAAGCAATTCCAATGGTAATATTCTGTTTGATGATTGTTCTGCAGGTTATTACACTATTCAATATCCAAACAGCCCAACATGCTTTTCTTCTGCAAGAAATCCCTCCACTATTGATTTGATCTTAACTGATTCATGTCAACTTTGTAGCCAATTGGTTACCCATGCTGAATTCGGTTCTGATCACCTTCCAGTAATTTTTGAAATATCCCAAGAAATAATTTCTAATCCAAACAGCTCTACTTTCAATTACCATAGAGCTAATTGGGAGCGGTATCGAACATTTATGGAATATAACTTCGATCCAAACATTCCTTTGCAAACCAAAGATGAAATTAATTATGCTCTTGAATCTCTGACTACTTCTATAGTTGAAGCAAGAGCTGCCTCAGTACCAAAATGCGAGGTTAAATTCGATTCAATTATAATAGACGATGATCTTCAGCTCTTGATCCGTCTTAAAAATGTCCGTAGGAGACAATATCAAAGAACACGCGATCCTGCCATGAAAGTTATCTGGCGGGATTTGCAAAAACAAATTAAAAAGCGATTCTCTGCCCTGAGGAACAAAACTTTTGAAAATAATATTTCTAAATTAGACCCGAGTTCCAAACCCTTTTGGAAACTCACAAAAATTTTGAAAAAACCTCAAAAGCCTATTCCAGCGCTTAAAGAAGGTGGTAAAATTTTGATCACAAATTTGGAAAAAGCTCAGAAACTTGCTAAGCAATTCGAGAGTTCCCATAATTTCAGTTTGGGTCTTACTAGTCCTATTGAAAATCAGGTTGCTCGGGATTTTCTGAATATTTTCTCTCGGGAAAATATTTTTGATGATTCCTGGGGGACTGATTTGGACGAAGTAAGGTCTATAACTAAAAAATTTCAAAATATGAAAGCTCCTGGTGATGATGGAATTTTCTATATCCTCATCAAAAAACTCCCAGAGAGTACCTTGTCTTTCTTGGTAAAATTATTTAACAGATGTTTCCATTTGGCATACTTTCCTGATAAATGGAAAAATGCAAAAGTTGTTCCAATTTTGAAGCCGGATAAAAATCCAGCTGAAGCTTCTAGCTACCGTCCAATAAGTTTGCTTTCTTCAATAAGTAAACTTTTTGAAAAGATAATTTTGAATAGAATGATGCTTCACATCAATACGAACTCAATTTTTGCAGATGAGCAGTTTGGATTTCGCCATGGGCATTCAACTACTCATCAACTCTTAAGAGTTAACAATTTAATTCGTTCAAACAAATCTGAAGGCCACTCAACTGGAGTTGCTCTTCTAGACATAGAAAAAGCATTCGACAGTGTTTGGCATGAAGGTTTGATTGCTAAATTGAAAAAGTTTAATTTTCCACTTTATATTATGAAATTAGTTCAAAATTATTTAACTGACAGAACTCTTCAAGTAAATTATCAAAATTCCAAATCTAATCGACTACCTGTTAGGGCAGGAGTTCCTCAGGGTAGCATTCTTGGGCCTATATTGTATAACATTTTCACTTCGAACCTCCCTGATTTGCCTCAGGGTTGCCACAAATCTTTGTTCGCTGATGACACAGGCATTTCCGCTAAAGGAAGAAGTCTTCGTGTTATTTGCAGCAGACTGCAGAAAAGTTTAGATATTTTCTCTTCTTATTTACAAAAATGGAAGATTTCTCCCAACGCTTCCAAAACTCAACTTATAATATTTCCACATAAGCCTAGAGCTTCGTTTTTGAAACCTAGTAGTAGTCACATAGTCACTATGAACGGAGTTCCAATTTCCTGGTCAAACCAAGTGAAATATCTTGGATTAATACTTGACCAAAAATTAACTTTTAAAGATCACATTGAGGGAATTCAAGCCAAATGTAACAAATATATAAAATGTTTGTATCCTCTTATAAACAGGAAATCCAAACTTTGCCTGACGAATAAACTTCTAATATTTAAACAAGTTTTTAGACCGGCCATGCTTTACGCTGTGCCAATATGGTCTAGTTGCTGCACTACCAGGAAAAAAGCACTTCAAAGGATTCAGAACAAAATTCTGAAAATGATTTTGAAGTTGCCTCCCTGGTACAGTACAACCGAAGTACATAGAATTTCGAATGTTGAGACTTTAGCACAAATGTCCAACAAAATAATTAATAATTTCAGGCAAAAATCGTTGCAATCCTCAATTGCAACGATTAATTCCCTTTATACTTAGATAAGATTTAGTTTTAGTTTTTAGTTTTAAGATATCAATTGTTATACTGACATGCAGGTTAAAAAACCTGTTTAAAATACTGAATTGCCAAGACATGAACAATGTAAAAACACTTAGATATATATCATAACAATTAAGGCTGGTACGTTACTGCAGTAACTGGAGCACCTAGGTTAAAATGAAATGTAATTTATTTTGAATTTGGAACAAATAAAGAGTTAAAAAAAAAAAAAAAAAAAAAAAAAAAAAAAAAAAAAAAAAAAAAAAAAAAAAGAGATTTTCAGTCAGACGCTGGTTCATCTCCGGCTCAGTTTGAATATGTTTCATGTTGATGGACTGCAATTGTTGCATTCGTTTCTTCATTCCGGGAGAGTAAAAAATTGGATCGATTTGACAGCTTGGCGTGTGGAATTGAAATAAAAAATCCAGGTTACCGTGCGTAACTGAAATCCATACATTAAAAAAAATCCAGCCATCTACTGACTGGCATAGCGTAGCGGTTTCATCCATGCCTCTCACGCTTAACGTCACGAGTTCAAACTTCATCTCCGGACAAGTTACGAATGATCTTAAAAGTGTTTTAAAGTGACTATACTAAAATAAAAACCGGCCACCTTATGGCAAATGTATGGGGTTGACAGATTTCGGTCCCGCACGGCACTACGTCATAGTCAAAGTGTATTATACAGTATTGCCGTGATCACCAACCATCTATTTGATAACGCCTTTAGATTACAGATCAGTTAAATAATCAATATCTATTTCATAAGACATTTTATTGAAAAACTTACTCCAGAAAAGTTGTTGGATTGATGTATCAATTATGGCTGCACGTTTCTGTTATGGTGTGTTCCAACGTAAACTTATGCGGAAATAATCAGGACAAAATTTGGAAACGATTTGGAAATGATTTGGACAAACCCTCCAGCAACTGTTTTGGCGAAAAAAAAACTAATGTTTAACCGATTTTGTTAAAACTTGTTGCAAATGAAAGCTATATTTACTTACTTCCATTTGTTTCGGTCATTCGTGACTTGTTTGACAAGTGTTGCAGACTGATAATAGTGTGTCTGATTTTAATTTTAATATCACATCAAAGTGGATGCACTTCAATCGTGTCGAAAATATGGTGTAATATTACTTGCGAAAAAAGGCAAAATTATCATGAATACAGTGCATGAACTGACATTACGTTGCTTTTGTGGCCAAAAAAATTACATGAGATTTTCTACATGACTGAAGTGCATCCTCTTGGATGTAAAATTAAAATTTATTTTTTGCTGTGTAAGGTTTAGCGACTTGCAGTCAATTTAATTATTTGTACGAACGGAAACGGATTCGAAACTCAAATGTCATTAGCCAAATACATCCATAGGCCATATAGGTCCACCGTTGTATAATTGGCATTGCACCCGTGTACTGAATGGGAATTGTGGGTTCGATTCCCCCTTAGATTTTTTCGCAAATTTTCACACACACGCACACGTCTCTTACGGATGATATGTGCTTACCTCTCAGTATGTTCAAACTTAATTACTAGTTTTTTTTTAATAGAATTGAGTCTTGATAATCAATCTGTACTGGTCTAATGCAAAGATGGTGAAATAAAATTAAAAAAAGAGTCAATATTAGGGTAGGTGCTTCAGTAATAGTGGTGTTCCTATAGTTGCGGTTGAGGGGTTATGGCAAAATAACGATAATAATATTTTTTAATTTTCAGTGCAATATAAACAGTCATTTTAACACTCTTGACATTCGTGACTTTGGCGTTAATCACTGCGCCGGGGTTGTCCTCATTTGCTTAGTTGAACCTTAAGCTAGTCCAAAAATGACGGAAAACAAATAATTTTCCATAAGATTTTGATTTCTTTGCACCTAAACACTGCAAAAAAAACTTGTACGATGTTGATGCACACCATCGGTTGTGTAATATTAGATTGTACGATGTACACAAAAATTGCACATGGATACAGTATTGTATATGCATTTTTCTATGAAATGTATATTTCATACATTTTACCTTGATCGATTTTACATTTCTTTTTTGCTGCTGTAGTTGTGGTAGTGCTTTGTTTCTCCCTTTGTCCATGTCCTTTGTTTTGTGCATGAATTACCTTGATCGATTTTACATTTCTTTTTTGCTGCTGTAGTTGTGGTAGTGCTTTGTTTCTCCCTTTGTCCATGTCCTTTGTTTTGTGCATGTCGTAGTACCTCATTGCTATGGAAAAGTAATGAGGTATTCGTTTTCGATAAAATTAAATCATACATACATGATCTTCTCACAAGAATCCTCATTCAACTGTGATGTTCCATATCATTCGAAACGTTCTGAGACCTTTCCAAAGACGCACTCTCTCTTCAATCCAAATATTTTTCATGCGAATCATACTTCCATTGAAACATTCCGTATCATTTGAAGTGTTCTGGGACCTCTTATCAATCAAAATAGGTCTCAAATGAACCCTCATTCAATTCTACTATGGGCTTTTCCAGCAATGAAAATAGGTCTTCTTAGTGAAAAAAAAACAACCGATGATCCTGATATTCGACCATGCGTTGGAACCCTGGTATGAACCTTTTCTTGTTTCCAATCTCAAAACCGAGGTTCATAAGAAGAGCTAAGGGCTAGAGTTCGATGTGCTAGATGTTACATCCTGTAACAAACCACGAAGAGGTTATCTAACCACGTTACGGAGCAAGTGGTAGTGTTCCTATAATAGTGGAAATCCATTAGAAACCAATGCGTTCCACTATTATATGAACCAAAGTTAGCAGCTACGACAATTACTGGATTTTTTTTTCAATATATGGAGGACGAGTTTTCCAAAAATGTATAAAATTGAATCGTAATGGAATATTTTTCCAGGAAAGTAGCAATGTTAATCTATAGGTTGACGTATAACAATTGTATGAAGAACGTTTATTTTTTTACAAATAAAATGTTTTAGTTCGTCCACTACTGGCTCGCCTGCCCTATGTGTTGCAAAAATTATTGTTTGTCAAACTCATAACTTTTTAATGAACATTCAAAGTACGTCGTTGCAAAAAAAAAAGCTTTCGTAAAACACAAAAAAATATATTATATGGATATTGCATCGTAAACGTATACACCCTCGTGAATGCGTAAACTTCCATTACACTCCAATTGATACAGGTATTATTACGATAGTGTATATGTTTACGATGCGCATAGTGAATATCTCTTCTATGTTTCTGTCTTTGTTTTTAAAAATAAAAGCTATAACTTATACGTGCATGTAAATTTATATCTTTGTTCGATGAAAAATTAATGGACTTTAATTGACCTTCACACTGCCATCAATGTAAAATGAAATGCAAATTAATTGATTTTTAAATGCTTTCATATGAAATTGAAGTTTTATCGCTGTATGTTTCAGCTAACCTTAATGTTTCAAATACATCAATGTTCCATATGTGAATTCACAATGTTTTTGTACTTTGGATCCGAAGAACAATGAATACTATGTAACACTGCATAATAAAGTTTTCCTTGCAAAGCAACTACTTGATCATGTCTCAAGATTACAATGCCAATACAAATAAGTAATAACTATTTGATTTATTAATTGACTTAAAAAAGGTGTTCAGATAACTTACAGCTGTAAAATATCGTAAAATTATAGTAGGTATTATCAAAGAAATTGGGTTTCCCACAGTAATTCCCATATAAATTTCAAACAATGTATGCACAGTCAGCTTCTAACAAAATTAATTCAAATTTTGGGAGGCTAATCAGGGCCCGATTTAGAACCATTTAAGCACTGTGGAGCCAATTTTTTTTAACTAGCATTAGATTACTGTGGACGTGTTCATAGAACACTAAATTGACGGCTGGCATAAAATTCCAGTTCTAACACCTAAATGGGCCAGCTTCAAAAATTAGACTTTCCAGAGTTAAACAATGCCCTTCCAGTAAAGCAAATAATAATAGTACATCATCTCTACCGTAGAACTTCGAAAAACAAATTGACTGGAATGGTATGCTGAAACGAGACCCATTGAAATGTTCTCTATCGCTCATTTGTCAACTGGCTGCTGGGGCAGAACTGAAGAACGATGCCGCTAATGCAATCTTCGAATTTATTCAGTAAGTATATAATACTAATCAAACGCTTGTTTTAACACTTTCTTACATCTTACACTACAGTTACAGCGTGGAAAACAGTAAAAACGTCCCAAAGAAGATAGTTCATTCGTTTGAACGTGGCCTGGGCTTCAATAAATTCAACGAAACCGATTTTGAAAATTGCTACCCGCACTATCCCCTGTGCATATATTCGGTCAAAACTATGATGAAACTACTGGACCTACATACCAAGATCTTTGGAGCCTGGACGTAGTGTTTGTTTGGTTTTGCATGGTGAATACTAATGAGTATTAGTTCATAGTACATTTGAACAACACACTTGGAAATAACTATTTTTACACGTGACGGAATCCATCTTTGACATAAAGGATCAGACGTAGACAAATATTCCGTGTAAAATTAAGCGCTCCGAGACTGAAAATTTCGTTACTCGACGAAAAGTACGTTTGATTGAGTTGAATTTCGCGTCTTTTATGACTCAATTTTATGTTAAAATTGACGCTCGTATATGTCAGTCTCAGAGCACCTAAATTTTCATGTTTTTTCTAAGTGTGTAGAGCTCTTCTAACTATTTTGTAAATATTATACAGAGAAACCAATATACGAATTAAAAATGAGAAATCCATCCTGATGAATGTGGTCGTCTATAGTGGAATACCTATGTAAATAAAATGAGAATGATTAGTAATTTCCACTTCATTTCACTGCCTTAATTGCTTATCATTAACAGGTATGCGTATTTCGTCTACAATAGGTAGTAGTAATTATTCTCCATCGGCAAGTACCAACCATTCTCCCAAAATGTGTGCTTATTTGGTTGGGAACTCGTACTACACTGGCACTTTGAAGTTTATATGGGAATTACTATCGAAAAAGATAACTTTTTGAAATCATCGCCCTAGCCCTTCGTCATAAAGATGTACGGAAAAGTTATCTGTACTTATGTGATATTTTCTTAGCTACATATTCGTTCAAGACCACTTTTTGATTGAACGTCAAGAAAATTATGAAGATGATGTTCTTGTGATATGCTCCATGCCTGGTGCAATGAAAAGCGCTAAAAATACAGACTACTATGTCATAAGTGCAATATGCAACGCTGTCGAGGAAGCAGTGAATTAATCATATCAGAAAGTTATTGCCTTGGTGATCAATTAATAACTAATTTTCTTGACGTTCAATCAACAATTGCGATTAGCAAGGATTTATTTACATAGCAAACTTTTTTGTATATCATTATTTATTTTGTCAATCAAAATCGTAGACTACATAATAACATTATAATTATGGCGAAGGGCTAAAGCGATTAGTATAAATAGTTAACTTTTCCCATAGTAACTCCCATATAAAATTCAAAGGAACAGTGCAGTATCAGTTCGCAACCAAATGAGCAAATTTTGGGAAATGATTAGGAGCTGATTTGACATAGATTGAGTGGGGTGGAGTAAATCGATATGTTGAACCACCCAAATGGGCAGACTTCTTTAGTGTCTTTTGCCTCAATTGTGGATAAGTACAAGACGCCGAAAAACATTTAAAGTATTGGAACCTAATGGACGTGGAATTAAATGGAAATTACTGGCTCTGTTTCTTTATACGAAATCCATGCCAAATTTCTAATTTTGATGACATTTTCTGGGCTGAAATAGAATATTTTCGATCAGGCTTGAGAGAATAAAAATAAATTATTTTCAAATGTTTATCAACGCTAGTATATACACAAAATATTGTTAAAAAGGGCAGGAGCATAATGAGCATCCTTTACTTAAGCCATAAATTTCTAATTGTTAAAAAAAATTAATTGGAAGTAGGTTCAACATCATACTACAAATTAAATTGTTTTGAACACTTAAAAATTGCAGGCTAAACTACATGATGCTCATTATGCTCCACCTGTTCTTTATGTCCCTCCTTCCCCTAATCTGACGCCAAACAGGGCTGAGCAGTACGGTGCTTCATTTTGAAAGAAAGTGTTTAATTTATTATAGACCACTCTCAGTTAGATGTATATCCCCAAAATATGAGTTTGTGCAAAAAAATTGTGAAGATTTATGAAGATTTAGAGATCCCCCAGCTGGGAGTGTTGAAAAAAATAGAACTGCAAATAATTGTATCAAATCTAATGCTCCGTAATGGTGCCCTTTATGTTGTGAAGATCAGTACTTTAAAAAAGATTACTTCTGACATATTTCGCAACATCAAGTGTCCTCATCAAGTTTAAGGAAAATGATGTACTAACAGGTAAATAAATTCTAACATACGCTATCCCTCGCTGGTGGGGTGATATTCTCAATTACAAACAAGACACTCGGAAAATAACGCGATTCCGAAATTCGCATCGCTACGTTTCCTAACGAAAACATCTCCCTTGCGATAGTGAACTTTTGGATATTATAGTAATAATTTGTGTATGCAAGATGCAAGAATAGGGGATGAAATTTGTGTATTACACATAAAAGCTGTCAATTTTGGTTACAGGGGGTCATAATCATAATCTTAGCTGTAATGAGCAATCTCGATGAGGGAGCGCTAATTATGACACTCTGGAAGCGAAATTGACAGGTGTTATGTGTCATACACAAACTTTACCTCCTCTTCCTGTATCTTACAAACAAAATGTATCATTATAATATAGCTCTATACTTTAGAATAATAACATTTTAGCTGTAATGAGCAATTGCAAGCCTGTCTCTAGTTTAAGATGATACTGTAAGAATGTTCGTAAGAAAGACGAATTCCATAGTGCTCCAAATTTCCGTGTACTATGCACTAAATAGGTTAAAAAAATACATAAGTTCTTTCCACAAGTTTAGGAATTGGTTGATATAACCGTTTTAGTTCAAATGTTAAAATGTTAACAAAATTAGATTTTTTTTTTTTTTGTTTTCGTGGTATAAAAATTAACACATTGATTACACTTTTTAATATTTATTCACGAAACTATCAGTATCTTAACCAGTAAGTGATTTGTTTTTAATGCTGGCAAAAATTATTGTCATTTTGATATTCTTCATATAACATTTGGATATCATTTTCGATCTGATGGCCTTTAACTCGACCACAGGGTTGTCAAATTATGTAATCATGAACGATTATACCTTTCGTTTTCCTTGATTTGTTTTCCGTCGATCTTGTTTTCCGTGCTGAGCACTAATGCTAACAATGCCAGGGAGGCAGGCAGCTCCCACACCTGGACCCTACCTATCGACCCATCAACTCATGAACCGGGGACCAACGGCTTTACTTTCCTTTACGTCATCAGAGATGTTATGCCTCAGAACATCCCGGCGGGGTGAGTGAATTTGTATGATTTATGTGTCCTATATTGAATATAATTCCACTGAAATTTGTCATGAAAACTAAATTCAAAATTAAAAAAAATCACATCGTCTGTTTCTATGCTATTGGATCTAATAAACTTCAATCGTTCGTCATATTTTAACTTTTCAAGGGAAGGTAGCCTAGCAGAAAATGAAAACAAAGTGAAATCTGATTTTGATATACTGATATAATCGCTCATTATGCTGGAGGCAGGTGGTTTCGATTCCCGGTCCGGTCTAGGAATTTTTCGGTTTGTAAAATTTCTCGACTACCCTTGGCTTGTACTTACGACGCAATTATACTTATGCAAAGGCTTAGAATTCTCTCTGCCAATGTAAAGTCCCAGTAGGAACGTAATAAAACCCAAAAAGAAGATATAATAATAGCGGCGCTGGTGGTGTAGTGGTAAGCGTGATTACCTCTCACCCCAGCAGGTCTGGGTTCAATCCCAGTTGGCGCCGCCGGGATGTTCTGAGGCATAACATCTCTTCGGAAGGGAAGTAAAGCCGTTGGTCCCCGGTTCATGAGTTGATGCGTCGATTGGTAGGGTCCAGGTGTGGGAGCTGCCTCCCTTGCGTCGGTAGTATTGGTGCTCAGCACGGAAAACAAGATCGATGGAAAACAACAGGACACTTAAACAAATAATACATTACTCTGTCTAATCCAACACAGTTTTTCTTATATTTGTAAGCATTTTGAATGTCAAAGAAAGGACCTGCAGAAAACTGACTTAAAGAATCGTAAATAATTAATCCTTCACTCTTAGATTTTTTGCCGAGATGGGCACCACCGATCAGCTCGGCAATCTATTTTGCTGGATCTCAGTGAAAAAATTGCCAAAATTCAGTTAACAAACGGAATTTTGTCGAGATCGCGGCTAACAAACATAAATTAAACTGAGATCTCAGTAAAAATAAATGCCGAGTTTGCTCGGTGGTGCCAATCTCGGCAAAAAATCTAAGTGTGTGCGATGCGCAAAAATGCAAAAACTACGTATTGACAAAATCGAGATCTATCTGTACATTAATGCTGTGTTCTGTTCTAACTGCTTGAAACGCTTTACATTGATGGGTTTGGATCATTTAAGGACAAACGAGATAGTTGTCTGGCACGTGCTTCAGAGGAATTTCGTATTGAAATTAAAAACATTCAAATGTATACCTTCGTTTGCTTATTAATTTACAAATAAGAGAGAAAAAATCATAACTAACAGTAAGTTCACACGATCTGGATTGGAATGAAAGAAAGCCAAACAAAGTATTCGATACGAAACCACAAATGAGACGTAGGAAATGTTTTGAAATGCCTGTCACAGAGCTCCATTGTCATGGTGAGACTCATTATTCTATCTCAGCGGATAGTTATTCCACACCGTGCTTCCTTCTTTTCATACTATTTGATTTTTTGAAGCCAAGACGAAAGATCGAAGCCCACCGGCTTATGTACATGTGAACCGTATAATGGAATCAGTTGATATTTTTCATGTCCAATTAAAAATATAAAAATATGAGTAGATAACGTGTTCATTTTCTTAATGAATGCTTTACAATCAAGAGTTCTTGACTCTTGAACCAATTCAGTTAGCCAATTGCAAATTATACTGCATTCTTGTGTCTATGACAGAGAAATCCATGCATTATGAGTTGAAATATTAAGCATGAATTTGGTCATATACTGCCAACCTAGAAAGGTGGCTTTCATTTGTAGAAAATTACTCAAGACACATTTTCCTAGAACATTTGAATACGCTATCTATTCATTTTAGTTATATTTCTAATACTGGCGGTATCTTTCAAAACACGGAACACCGCCGTGTTTCAAGCTCGCTGATCTCATACTAACCTGTAGGGCGATACAGTCTCATAAAGAGAGCGGTACCACTACATAGCCCGACAAATTTAACTCTTTCCTTCTCAGAAGGTTTTTAGTTGTTATTATGTTTAAATCAATAGAATTTCAATTGTTTTA